TGTCGCCCGATCTGGCGCACCAAAACAAACCTGGGCCCTCCAACCCCTACCTCGCCCTCCCACCGCCTGAAGACGAGATCCCCGACCTTGGCGAGTTACCCTGCAAACAACCACCCTCGCCCCCACCTACTACACCTGCTCCTACCATGTCAGGACATCACCGCATCACTCTCGCTGCCAATTGTCCTACCTCCGAAACGAGAGCGGCACAAGTTGCGCCGCCTCAAGATGGGCAATGAACTGGAAGCAGCACAACTTCGAGGGCTTCCAAGGACTTAAGGCGGGAGTCACCGCGACAAGCTTCTTGGAGGAGCTCCAGAGGGCCTTTGGGGATTCTAACGCAGAGCAAGTCGCTGCCGCCCGACTCATGGCCCTTCGTCAGGGCAGACGGTCCTTTGCGGACTACATCTCTGACTTTGAAATGCTGGCTGCAGACGCGGGGTACAACGTGGTCACCTCCACCGACAGCAAGGGCGAGCACAAGAAGGGGGAACAGGACAATATCCTCATTGAGTTCCTGGAGCGCGGACTCAGCAGCGAAATTGCAAGCCGCCTCTACAACACCGGCGTTCCCCTGCCCAAGGCATATGGTGCCTTCAAGAACTGGTGTGTCAACATCGAGGCCAATGCCTTGCGTGACCAACTGCGTAAGGCCTCCTATGCGCACTCGACTCCACGGCCTCCCTCCCAATTCCGCCCTCAGGCAGCACCAGCCGCGCCCACGCCTGCTCCGACCCGACCGGCTACCAACAAACCGGTCCCGATGGAAATTGATTGCACCCATGCCCGCGGCCGCAATATCATCTGCTACAACTGTCAGCAGCCTGGGCACATCGCGCAGAATTGTCCAGAGCCCAAAAAGAAGCGCACATTCTTCAATTGGGCCACAATGCTGGAAGAGATCGAGAACGGGGATAAGGACAACGAGTTCCTCAAGGAGATTGCCAAGAAGCTGCGTGAGAAGGGTTTTTGAAGCGCTCCACTCCTCTAGCCAAGGAGGTGGAGCGTCCGGACTATGGACAATTTTCTGTACTTGTTTCGATTAAAGACATGAACGATTCTGCCCATACATATACAATCTCGGACTCATTACGTACCAATATTCACGATTTTCTCATTGCTGATATGGAAAAAGAACGCCAAAGAAAAATAGCTTTAAATAGAGAGTATTTACAAGGTAAAAAGGACCAGAAAGCTGCAGATAAATTAATTTTGGATTCCTACGTATTTATGGCTCTTGGAGAAGGAACCACGTCAACAAAGACCGAAAAGGGGAGCATCGCTCCGAAGGCTCAATCCTTGGAAAAGGAGGAAGCGCCTAAGGAATCTGTCGAAATCAAGGTTCCAGAAGCACCCAAACGCACCAGGGTGCCAGATGCCATCCAGAGGAAATTGGCGGCCGAGAAACAGAAGGGCCCCCAGCCCAGCAGGTTGGCGCAGGAATTGCGCAGTTACCAGGCCAAAAGGAAGAGGCATTCGATGGACGTATATGTCCAGATCACGGGTCTGGACTCAGGGAAAACGCGCGGAGTCAAGGCGCTGCTCGACAGCGGCTGCAGTACCTGCTGCATCGATACCGACTACGCACGGGTGGAGAAGTTGGATATCCATGAGCTTCCGCAACCCATTGTGGCTCGTAATGCCGACAACACTGAGAACATCAGCGGTCGGATCACGCACTACGTCGATCTGAGGATGAGAATCGGTCCTCATGTGGAGACACGCACGTTCCTTCTGACGTGCTTGGGGAAAGCCCGGATCTTCATCGGTCTTGATTGGCTGATGGAACACAACCCCGAGGTGGATTGGCAGGAGCAGACCATGAGATTCAGCCGATGCCCAGTGCGGTGTCACATGAGGGGTCCCGAGGAACATCAAGCGATGATTGATATGGATGCAATCGACCTGGACATGGGTACACCGGATCTGGAAGAGGGAGAATCGATCCTGTTGGTCGATTTTGGGAAGGAAGTGGACCTGCGGCTGAAGGAAACGCCGGCGCAGAAATTCGCAGAGGAAGCAGAAAAGGAGAAGGAGAGAATGACCGAGGGAAGGATTCCGGATCAATATCGGGAATTTGTCAAGGTATTCGCAAAGGAATCGTTCGACTCACTACCGGACCGACGGGCATGGGATCATGCGATTGAGCTCAAACCTGGTTCCAAAGCAGTGGACTGCAAGGTGTACCCGTTATCACGCAATGAACAAGTCAAACTCGACGAATTCTTACAAGAGAACCTGGCCAGTGGACGGATCAGGCCATCAAAATCACCCATGGCATCAGCATTCTTCTTTGTCAAGAAGAAGGATGGCTCTCTACGCCCCGTCCAAGATTATCGGAAGCTGAATGAGATGACAATCCAGAATCGATACCCGTTGCCGCTGATCTCCGAACTGGTCCATAATCTATGTGGCGCAAAGTTCTTCACCAAGCTCGACATCCGGTGGGGATATAACAATGTACGAATCAAAGAGGGCGACAAGTGGAAGGCTGCATTTCGCACAAACCGAGGGCTGTACGAACCCTTAGTCATGTTCTTCGGTCTCACAAATTCCCCGGCAACGTTCCAAAACATGATGAACGACATACTCCGAGAGTTGATCAACGAGGGTCACGTGGTAGTCTATCTGGACGATATACTGATCTTCACAGAAAAGTTGGACAAACATCGGCGGATCACGAAACGAGTGCTCGAATTGCTCCAGAAACACAAGCTATACCTGAAGCCCGAAAAGTGCGAGGTCGAACGCACGGAAATCGAATATTTGGGTGTAATTATTGGACACAACTCGATGCGGATAGACCCTGTCAAGATCAAGGGTGTGATGGAATGGCCGGAACCAAAGAGCGTCAAACAAGTCCAAGCGTTGATAGGCTGGCTACCAGACGCGCTCTGCACCAGCTCTGTAAGGGCGTATTTTTGCGCTTTTTACAGAGTTTACTCTTGAACCATTCGGTGTATCGTGTCGCGGTTGACAGTGTTGCGCTCAGTAGGACTTATGGGTCTACTGCCCAGTCGACGACTGTGGATAGTGTCGACGATAGCAAGGCAGTCAGACCACTACTGTGGAACTGGTCTTATGAGTCTACACCAGGCTCAGGGCCATTAGTGACGAACGCTTGGACCGCGACCATTCCCCAAAAAGGGATCTGTCGTTGCGTCGACTTCTCAAAAAGGGTCATTCTCTGCAGATGGGAACTTGGGCTGAAGGGCTGAGCAAGGCGCGACGTCCTCAATAATAGAACTACTACTGGACAGGACTTGGCGTTACGAGACTTAAACCATCTTGTCGCGGCAACTCCCGGTTTTGGGTTGGACGTTTCCTCAGATCATGCCACGACGACGACTTGTCACATGTCAGGATCCATTCGATCACGGGACACTGTGGACGCGTCGCGGTGACACTTCCAAGTGTCACGGCGAGTCGCGCCCATACCCAAACACACTAGAAACCGACACGGCTAGATCCGTGAACCGAACCATGTGGGGGACGACTGGCGTGCCTAGGGCCATACGGCTTCTTGGGGCGCCCACGTTGGTCTCACATGCCAAGACATACCCGTTGGCCAATCCAGCACATCGTATTCCAAAAGTATGACGCGGTGAGTTGGCCCACATCAAAAGTATCATATGGACAATGGGGCGGGGTCCTGATCACTCAGGACCTGTCCGATCGTTCAACTTTCAATTACCCTAAAAGGCAACCGATCTTAGATAGCGTAGCTACTATGCAGTTGTACAGGACTTTACTAAGCGTCGTCGTAGACAGTATAAGTAGCACGTCGTTTCTTTGTATTAGAAAGCTTTCCCCCGGACTGTGAATCACTCTCATTTCAGATTGTTTTGTACAATTTGCGTGCCGCGTGATTCCACCCGAAGAAGTTCTGCTACCCCTGCCCGGTCGCGACGAGTTGCTCCCTGAGCACTTGTAGCTACTGTGATTTGAGTTTGAGTTGAGACATCAGAAAGTCGGATTCGCCGCATCTGGTTTTGTTGCGGCATTTAGTGTTGTCGCCTTTGGGCTTTGTTGAGATCGTTCCACACCTCTAGCTTGGCAGTGCGTCGACTAGTTGTGCTCGGGTTGTTTTGGTCAGTTGGCAGTGCGTCGACTTGACATTTTGGTTCTACTAGTTGGCAGTGCGTCGACTCAGTATATTGGTTGTATCGGTTGGCAGTGCGTCGACTTGATATTTGGGCTTTGCGTCGCCATCTAGACGCTGTCGCTACAAGGGATCTTAATACTTTGTATTAAGCTCTGACTTGTTATATCGTTGGTTGTGGATTGTATTAGTGTTGGTTGTGCTCGTAAAGAAGATATTGGTTGAGATACCATTGTTTGCTATATATATATCCCTGTCGTCGACTCCGTCTCCGCGACTATTGGATCTGTGTCTATTGAGAGTTGTGATACTGGTGCTCTGTCCACCCCGAAGCCCTCGCATCTTTCACACACTGAGAAGCTGATTACGAGGAGTGTGAACGTGTTTATATTTGGGTTTACTTTCATAGTAGATTCACTTGTGAGCTCGCCCTCAGCATTTCATCTGGAGCCCACCGCGAGGGGCTTCTAAAAGTTTCATAAACTTTAAAAATTAATAAACCGGATTCTTTACCGCGACGTCGGATAGAGACCAAGGGTTTATCCCGCGAAGCAGTTTATTTCGATCCCAAGCTCCTGCGCGACCTCTCGAGGACCAAGCGGAGATTGAGACTGAAGGAAACGCTTCAACTTCAGGACCTTTCGAAAAACCACGAAGGTCTGCAAGACATAAAACACCTTTGTATCTACCACCCTTGCCTTCCAAGGCAAAAGGAAAACAAAGAGTGAATTCGTCGTCGAAGCTTCCAGCTTTAGACGCGGCTACTTCGAGTTCGACGACAATCAGTCGATCTCAGACTAGCTCACAAACTCTCTCAGAATTGTCTAGTAGCGTCACCGCTACAAACACGAATTCTAACAACATCCCTACTTCCCCTGTGACTTCAGTCGCGACAACTATGGCTCCAAAGACTGGGTTCAAAATCCCTCAACCTTGGGACACAAGTAGACCTATACTTGATGAAAAGGATCCCCTGTCGATTGAGGCATATTTGCGTCACTGCGCGCAGATCGTGGAGGATGGTGGCATCACAGATGTCAAACAAGCAAAAAGCATGTACATTCGTTATTTGCCGTCGCGGCAAGTGATGGACGTATGGGAAGGTCTTGATACCTACTCCGACGACATGAAAACTGTCGCGGAGTTCGAGGCCGAAATCTTAAAAGGATACCCTGAGGTGTCCAAGCGAAAAACGGGGACCATGGCAGATCTAGATAGACTCTGTCGCGAGAACCGTGGAATCAAAATCACGGATGAGGGAGATTTGAAGCGTTTTGGCCTTCAAATGTACAGTCACTACAAGCGACTGTCAGTCCCTCCTGCCATTATTACCAACAAAGTCGCGTGTGAACGCTACATGCGTACTTTGGACTCTGAGTTCAGTACTGTCTTGCGAAATGCTTTGGCTACGAGTCAAGTATTCAACAAGCGCTACCAAACTCGCGCCGGGATAGCAAACGCTAATGTCCCCGCGACTGGAGTCAATCGGCAGGACGACCCCATCCAGCTGAAAGAACTAATGACAATGGCGGAAGAAATGGCGTCGACGTTGAGCAACGAAGACGAAATTCCCATAATCGCGCGACCTCCTAAGGTTCGCTTCGACTATGAGACTAGTCCACCCAACCATGCTAAGGTTGAGGAGTTGGAAAATTCGATTTCCAACTTGAAGGACTCATTTCTTCTACACCAAAAAGAGCTACAGACTCAGTTGCAGGAAGCGCTGAAGACGTTTGTACAGACTGCTCGCGAAGCGCCTATGCAGCGGTCGCGGCCAGTAGGCAACAACTCTTCTGTGCCCCACTTTGAAAGTCGCGCTGTAAGGGCAACCTCGAGGCCCGGTCTCAGAGTCCTGACAAGGGAGAGTCCAAAGAGAAACCGAGTTGGGGACTCTCCTTGTCAGGGCCCACTATATATAGCCTACAGAACAATGGATGACCAAGCACAATGGAAGCGCCAGACAATGGGGCCAGGGAACAATGAGGGGCCGGATCGGGGGGAACAATGGGAGCCGGGCCGGAGTGTCATGTGGACGCGCTTGGCAGGGAAGTCCGGACCGGAGCATGTGACGCTTGACAGATGGCACGTGCGCGGTCACATGCGAGATCCCATGATGATCGGACAAAAGCAGGGGTTCCCCTGACATCACCCCCCCTCTTGATTGCGGCGCCTCGACGCAAGGTACGGTTAGGGGCCGATGAGTTCCTGAAGGGTAGCGAGTCGAATACAGCTGCTGCAATGACGCGTGGCTTTCCCGGGTATCTGCGGTAGAACGCTGCCACTGCGTCGTCAGCAAAAACATCGGAGTGCTTGACCCACTGGTCATGAGACGGGTCGTAGCCCTTCCATCGTACTCGGAACCAGACACTCCGGTAGCGCATCTTTGCATCTAGGATCTCCTCCACTTCCCACTCCTCTCCTTCGCCTTGTCCCAGGACAGGGGGTGGTTCCTCATGACGCGGGCGAGTGGGGAACGGGTCGTCTTCGGCCAACTGGAGCTTGACCACAGGGAAGACTGGGTGGAGGCGAGAGAGGCTGGTGGGGAGGGCGAGCTTGTATGCGCCCCGGCCTACGACTTGGGTGACTTTGAAGGGGCCCAGGCGTCGGTGGGAGAGGCCGCGAGAGGGTCGCGTCGTCGTGATGTCTGAGGCGTCGAGCCAGACTCGGCTGCCAACCTTGATGTCGGGAGCAGTAGTTCTTCGTCGGTCATAGTACCTCTTGTACTCGTCCTTTGCTTTGACCAGTGCCGATTTAGCCTCGGTTACACCTGATGCGACCCGGTCCAGAAACTCATTGGCGGACTCTGCTCGGGTGGAGCGCTGCTCTGTTGGCTCGAATCCCATGCGTGGTAAACGTCCTGTGTCCGTCATGAAGGGAACCTGCTGGGTCGAGGAGTGGACGTGGTTGTTGTAGGCGAACTCAGCTGCGGGCAAGAGTTCATCCCAGTCGTCCTGCTTGTAGCTGGTGAAGATCCGGAGGTACTGCTCCAACTCCTGGTTGACCCGTTCGGTCTGGCCATCAGTCTGCGGGTGGTAAGCGGTGGACGTGGCAGGGGAGACGCCAACCAGCTTCCATAGCTCTTGGGTGAAGTCTGCCACAAACTGAGGGCCACGGTCCGAGACGTATTTGATGGGTAATCCGTGGTGTCGCCAGACATGCTTGTAGAACAACCGAGCCATCCCTTCGGCCGAGAGGCGAGTGTGGCACTCGATGAAGTGGGAACGCTTCCCCAGCATATCAACGACCACCATGATGGCGTCGTAGCCGTGCGCCTCAGGCAGCTCCACGATGAAGTCCACCGACACCGATTCCCAACGTTCCGAGGGGATCTCCGTGGGGTGAAGCTCTCCGGTGGGGAGTCGTTGGAGGGCCTTGGTCCGACAGCACAGGTCGCAGGTGGCCACGTACCGGCCAACATGTCGTGAGAGCTGGGGCCACCAGTAGTTCCGGGAGACCAGCTCCAGCGTCTTGAAGCGGCCAGCATGCCCCGCAACGCGGGTGTCATGATGTTGCTCAAGGATGCGTCGTCGTAGGTCTTTGTCACGCGGGACCACCAGCTTCCCACGGAAGTAGAGGAGGCCGTCCTGGATGCGCCATTCCGCTGCTACAGCGGAGCGGGCCCCTTCATCCCTTTCAGAAGCCGTCGCGCTATAAGCGCAAGTTCTTCCTCAAGGTCAGGGTCACCGGAGAGCGATTCCCGAATGTCGCGGACAAGCGGGGCTTCCAGGCCAGAGACGGACAGTCCTTCTAGTGCTCGCACATGGAACAGTTCCGGTTTCAACAGGGTAACGTCTGTGTTGTCTGAAGGGGCTCCGTGGTCCGGGCATCGGGAGAGTGCGTCTGGTCGTCCCATGAGCCGGCCGGGTTGGTGGTGGAGCGTGAAGTCGAAGCGGGATAGGTAGAGCGACCATCGGGCTTGCCGGCGATTGAGGTTCTGGGCCTTGCGGAAGTACTCCAGGTTCTTGTGATTGGTCCAGATCTCCACCGGGTACTCGGCGCCCTCCAAGAAGTGCCGCCACTCCTCCAGCGCACGCACAATCGCGAGCATCTCTTTGTCGTGGATCTCGTAGTTGCGCTGGACGTTGTTAAGGCTTTTGGAGAAGAAGGCGACTGGGTGCCACTTGTCGTCTGAGGGGGACTGCTGCGAGATGACGGCTCCTGTGGCAAAATCGGAGCTGTCAGCCTCTAGGCGATAAGGACGGGAGGAGTCTGGGAGGAGAAGAACCGGCGTAGAGGTAACTGCATCCTTCAAGGCCTGGAACGAAGTGGACTCGTTGTCGCCCCAAGACCATGGTACGTCCTTCTTGGTGAGGTCAAAGAGCGGGCGTGCAACGTGCGAGAAGTCCCGGATAAACCTCCGGTAGAAGTTAGTGAACCCAAGGAACTGCTGCACTTCCTTCTTGTTAGAGGGGGCCGGCCATTCGGCCACGCCTGCCACTTTGACGGGGTCCATCTCGACGTGGTTGTGGGAGATGATCACGCCGAGGTACTCGATGGACTCCATCTCGAATTCGCACTTCTCGGCTCGGAGGTACAACTTGTTTTCGCAGAGGCGGCGGAGGACTTCGTTCACAATACGACGATGGAGGTGAGGATCGGAGTGAGCAATGAGGATGTCGTCCAGGTACACCATGACGTCGCCCGAGAGGATGAGGTCCTGGAGGATGTCATTCATCATGGTCTGGAACGTCGCAGGGGAGTTGGTAAGGCCGAAATACATCACCAGTGGCTCGAAGAGCCCACGGTTGGTCCGAAACGCAGCCTTCCACTCGTCTCCTTCTCGTATCCGTACGTTGTTGAAGCCCCATCGAACATCGAGTTTGGTGAAGAAGCGGGCACCCTTGAGCTTGTTGATCAGGTCGTTGATCAAGGGGAGGGGGTACCGATTCTTCACTGTCATTGCATTCAGTGCCCGGTAATCCTGGACAAACCGTAGGCTGCCATCCTTCTTCTTGACAAAGAAGACGGGGGAGGCCATGGGGGACTTCGAGGGTCGGATTCGGCCGGTGGCCATGCCTTCTTCGATGAAAGCATCGAGCTGCTTCTGCTCCAAGGGGGAGATAGGGTAGACCTTGCAGTTTGTTGGCTTTGCATCGGGCACCAGTTCGATGGCGTGGTCCCAAGGGCGACGTTCCGGAAGATTGTCGAAGGATTCCTTGCTGAAAACATCCTCGAACTCGCGCGCCCACTCGGGTAGGGAATCTCGAGAGGGGGCGGAGTTCTTGGCAAACGCCTCCGCAAGACGCTGGGAGACGGTGCTAGTGGCTCGGATGTCTTCAGAAGGGTTGAAACGGGTGTAGAAGATACGGTCACCGGTTTCCAGACGGTCTTCCTCTTCATCGGAATCTTCTCCGTCGTCTTCCTGGAGCAGTGGCATAGCCTCGTCTTCGCGGTCTTCAATATCAACGACGCAGATGGAGGGGACAGGGCCTTGTCAGGTTGATCGGAGTGCTCGGGCCGAAATCCGGGCTATCCGTCTCTCTTGGCGAGACTCCTCGGTGCAGGTGGAGCAGCCCGATGGGCAGCGGCTCATCTTTACCTCCTGGGTGTCCCAATTGATCTCCGGGTTGTGCTTCCGAAGCCAGGAATAGCCGAGGATCAATTTCTGCTTGCCAAGCCGAGTGACGGCGAGCTGGACACGCTCGCTGTGTCCTTGGTAACGCAGGACCACATCGGCAACTTGTCGGATGGAGCCGGCTTCATTTGGCGTGCCGTCCACGTTGTAGACTGGGATAGGCTGGGAGAGCTGCCGGACCGGAAGTCGGTTTTCGGAGGCGTAGGTGGAGTCGATGAAGTCCGACGTGGCGCCGCAGTCGACCAGTCCGTTGAGGGCGAGCTGGACTGCGTTGTCGGTGGACTGGATCTCTAGGGGGAGGTGCAGGGAGTTGGCGCCGGGGGAGGCTGCGACCACGTAGCGCTGAGGGAGTTTTCGTTCCCACTTTTCCTTACGGACCAGCGGGACAGAGCGAGGGGCAGGGGGTACGTCTATCGTTTCGTTTGCGGGGGAAATGAGGTCGCATTCATCATACAGACATTCAAAACAATTACGTGAGGCGATCGAGGGCGTACTATTCACTCGTCGCGGGGGAGAAAACCCTGCTCCAACTCGTCGGCAATCTCTGCTTCGTGATCTTCTACAGCCGCTGTGGTCGCTAGCCGGGCCACTAATTCCGCCAACAGGTCGCTTCCCAGCTGATTGATCACTTCGTCCAGGATGTCAGCGTGCCGGACATCCACGGGGGTCGGGCAGTCTCGGGCCAGGTGTCCTGGGCTGCCGCATCGGAAGCAGGTGCGACGAACACCGGTGCGGGCTCTGGTTCGGTCGATCTCCATGGGAATGCCCGGTGGGAGGACTACTGGGGCTGGTCGAGGAGCAGGAGGTGGAGCAACCACCGGAGCAGCCACGGGGCGAGGGCGGGGGGCCGCAGGAGGCGGAGCGCGGGATGGAGAGAACACCTGTCCTCGTGCAGCTCGGGCAGCCACCTCGGCGTTGTACTGGCGGAATGCGCGGGTACGCCACTCCGAGTAGTTTGTGAGGCTAGGCGGGTTACCGGAGGTCGTGATCGCCTGATTGATTCTGGGGTCCAGACCCGCCCGGTACTTGGTGACCTTGACCAAGTTGTCAGAGTAACCCGCCAAGTCGAGAAGGTCGTCGAACTCATCCGTGTATTTGAACACGTCGCGGGATCCCATGTAGTAAGCGTGGGTCTCCAGTCGTGCCAGGGCGTGGTCTTGCTCGTTCTCCTCGACAAACCGGAGCTTGAACTCGGCCACAAAGGAGGACCAGGTCGGAAACGGGAAGACGAGGCGCTCTGACATGCGTTCTGACCAGGAGGCCGCCGAGTCCTTGGACATGTAGGAGAGGGCGAAACGTACCACCCGCTCTTCTGATACTACCCCGTTCACATGGAAGGCCTCAGGGAGGAGGCGCCAGTACTGCTTGACGGAATGGAGAAACGTCTTGCCCTGGGTGCGATCTCCGTCAAACGCGAATGGGGGATTGGGGCGGATGAGGGGTCTCAAGCTGGCCTGTTGGCCAGTAAATACACCTGGACCCGCTGCCGGAGACGGGACAGGGGCAGGGGCAGGCTGCTGTTGTTCGATTATGAAGTTGTTGAGGAGTCCCTCTATTCGCTGCATGGC